GGGGGGTCCCGCCGGCGCCCCCGTCGGTGCGGCTGCGCTGGCGGGATGGTTGGCTGCCCGGTCTGAAAAGCGGAGGGAAGGATGATAATAATAATGAAAAAAAATCTCCGACCCTCCTCCTGCATGCTGTGTGTTGTTGGTCCGGGCACCTGACTGCCTGCGGGGGGAGGGGAACACCAGGCTGAACGGGTCACTGAACCTGACGGTCGTGTCTGCTTGTGCCGCGGGGGGAGGCGGACACCGCCGCTCCCTCACCCGGGGCGTGTGAGTGTGTGTGTGTGTGTGTGTGTGTGAGAGAGTGTGGGGGGTGTGTGTGTGCCTGCGTGTCGGGGCTCCGCGGGGGGGTGCGCGGACCGCGGCACTCTTACCTGCTTGCTGTACTTGCTGCTGGCCTGGCAGCTGTACTCGGAGCAGTGGTCCGACCCGATGGAGATGTTGTCGCCGGCGCCCACGAAGGTGTTGGCCGGAGGCAGGTCCTGCACGGCCTGGTGCTTTTTGCCGGCGGTGGGGGACTGCGGGTGCAGCTGGACAGTGGGCAGCGGCGAGCTCGACTTGTAGTGCCTGGCCAGGTCGGGGCTGCCCGGGCCGCCGTTGACCGAGCGGTACCGCCCCATACCGGGGCTGTCGGAGAGCTTTTCGTTGACGCTGTCGTAGCGCTGCCCGTTGGGCTTGGAAGCCTCGACGGTGACGATGCTGCTGTAGAGGGGCTGCTTGCCCTTCTTGCCTTTCTTGTCCTTTTTGGGCTTCTTGGCCTTGTCATGCTGCTGCGGGGTGAAGAAATCCTCGTGGTCCTTCTTGCCAGCCTCGTAGCCATGTTTGCCCTTGGAGCGGCAGTAGCGGGCCATGACCACCACTAAGATGAGGAGGATGACAGTCATGATGCCAGCCACTACGCCAATGACTATGCTAAGCCGTTGTTTGCTCAGCTCGTAGCTGGGGTCGCCGGCGATGTCCTGGGCTAGGGGTGTGTGGAGGCTGCGGGCCACCTGGCTTTCCACCACGGTGGCATTGGACAGGCTCTCATTGACGAAGACGTGGAGCAGGGCAGTGGTGGACTGGGGCGGCTGTCCGCTGTCATTCACCTGCACCACCAGTCGGTGCAGGCCATAATGCTTTGGGGCTAGCTTGCCCACCAGTGACACCACGCCACTGGCTGGGTCGATCTCAAAGAGTTTGAAAGGGTTGCCCCCCACGATACTGTAGTTGAGGTCAGCGTTGAGACCGGTGTCGGCATCAGTGGCAACCACTGTGGCCACCACAGTGCGCATGTTGCTGGAAGGCGGCAGCACGGTGTAGGAGCTGTTGCTGGGGAAAGTGACCGTAGGCGCGTTGTCGTTCTCGTCCATCACAAAGAGGGACACAGTGGCAGTGGCAGAGCGTGGCGGCTCACCCCCGTCCACTGCCTTCACCTTAAAAGTGTAGCTGGTCTGCTGTTCCCGGTCGAAAGAGACAGTGGAGAAAATTGTTCCAGTGTCGTTCTCAATAGAGAAGATGCCAGCTGCCTGGTCATGGTCACCAGGCTGGATGGAGAGGCTGAGCTCTGCGTTGCGGCCCTTGTCAAAGTCCATCACGGTCACCATGCCCACGGGGCTGTTGGGCTGCAGGTTCTCCTTCACATAGAAAGTGAACACATCCTGCATGAAGCGCGGCTCGTTGTCATTGCGGTCCGCCACCCGCACCACCACCGTGGTGGAGCCCTGCAGCGATGGCACCCCCTTGTCCCGGGCTGTCACCTGGAACTCGTAGGTGTCACGTTGCTCGCGGTCCAGCACCGCCTGCACCGACACATCCCCGGAGTCGGGGTCGATGCTGAAAATGCCACCTGGTGCCTCTGAGGAGAGGGGTGAGGCCTCCAGGGAGTAGGTGATCTCGGCATTCTTACCGCTGTCCGCGTCCGTGGCAACCACCGTGGCCACCCTCTCGCCAGGCAGGTTGTTCTCCGGGAAGGAGACCTCCAGCACGGCCTGGCTGAACACAGGAGGGTTGTCGTTAGTGTCCCCGACCCGCACCAGCAGGGAGTTGTTGCTGGACAAACTGGGGCTGCCTGAGTCCACAGCCACGATCACCACGTTGTAGTCGCGGACAGCTTCATAGTCCAGAGGGGCTGAGGTGTGGAGGAAATACTTGCGCTTGTTCTGCGGCTCCCCTTCGCCCTCACTGGCTGGCTTGAGCTGGAAGGGCACGTCGCCCACCACGGTGCAGGTCACCACACCGTTTTCACCTTGGTCCCGGTCCGACACCTGCACCAGGGCGATGGGGGTATCCACCAGCACGTCCTCGGCCACACTAGCCACCCCGTCCCGAAGCGGGATGCGCCCGATTTTCCGGATGTCGATGGTGGGCACGTTGTCGTTCTCGTCGCGGATGTTCAGCACGACCGTGGCTTTGTCTGTCTTGGGGGGCTGGCCCCGATCTCGGGCCATGACAGTGAAGCGAAGCTGGTTCACCTCCTCCCGGTCGATGCGGTGCAAGACGCTGAGCCAGCCCGAGGTCTCGTCCAGCCGCAGCAGGCGTCGGACAGACTCGGTGGCCGCCCCGAAGACGTACTCGATCTGCCCGTTCACCCCCACGTCCAGGTCGGCGGCTCGCAGCTGCAGGATGGGGGTCCCAGGGCTGCTGTTCTCCGCCAGGTCTGCCTCGTAGACACTCTTCTCGAAGCGGGGGCTGTTGTCGTTCACGTCGGTGATGAGCACCCTCAGGATAGCCTGCGAGGACCGCGCCGGGTCGCCGCCGTCCCGCACGCGGAGGCTGAGCTCGTACGAGTCCCGCTGCTCCCGATCCAGCGCCCCCTTGACGATCAGCTGCGGCTGCTTCTCCCCGTCGAGGGTGTCGGCCACCTGCAGCTCGAAGACGCTGC